GGAAAAGCTCCCACAGGTGCCAGGTGCTGTCATTCTGGTGGGCTTGTCTGCTGGCGAGCCAAAGGGGCTGACCCACCTGTCACTGCAGCCAGACACAGATGGGGACAGATCCACGCGAGCTTAGTGACAGAAAGGCCAGCAAACCTGGAGAACAGCAGAAGTAATCTCTCAAATCTGTTCTGCCCTTGTTTCCAAAACCACAGTTTTATACACAAAAGTTCAAAGCAAAAACCATATTTCCCTTATCTTAAGCAATAATAGCAATATTCAGCATAACCCATGAGCTCTTAACAACACATCTAATTCAGAAGTTAATCTCCTAAATCAGGTGTCCTAAACTAGTCCAGATACACATCTGCAGGCTGAAGGTAAATCTACAAAACAGCAAGAGTGGAACCATGAGGTGAAGGTCACGTGGGCCTAAACGCCAGACCAGCTGCGTCATCCTCCCAGGGCTGCCTGAGCCCCCTGTTGTGGCCCAGGACTGACTAACTCCAGGTGTCCCCCTGTCATGTGGCCCAGGCTCCCCTGTGGTATGGCCTGGGGCTGACTGACTCCACAGTCCCCTGTCCTCCATCCCCTGTCATGTGGCCCCGGGCTGACTGACTCCATGAGTCCCCTACAGGTGCTCCCATGTGTTGAGACACAATCCAAATTGTCCTCCCAAAATGTGCAAAACAGTGGAAATACAGTAAAATCAGCTTTGTTTCTCAAATTTTGTTTGGTTGGATTGGAAAATAAACACACTTGAGCAGAGGCTTTGTAAAGAATAAATGTTAAGTTGTAGAAGTGCCCTCTTTGAGTGTTTGGTTGTAATCTGCCTTTAAACATATCTTAATTTGATTGGTATTATACACACAGTACAAATTTAGCTAGGTTTAACAATCAAAATTACTATCTGTTTTTTACCCACCTAGATCTGTGCATTTGTGTAGGGAAGCACATGCTAACAAGCTTGGCTGGTGTCCTCAACCAGGCATGAGTTTGCCTGTGGGGTTATTTAGCAATATCTGAAGAGATCTCAGGTTGTCATACATTCGAGGGTGGTGTGCTGCTGGGATTGTGCATCTTGAGTGCATCTTGAGGTGAGAGTGCTGCTGACACCCCATAGTGCACAGCGCCCCACATGGTGTCCGGCCTGCGGTGTCCATCCCACTGAGGATGCAGTGGGACATTTACAGAGAGGTCAGAATGTTGGTGACATTACTGCTGGGCCTCCAGTATCTTGCCCAGGAGTGGAAGAAGAATGTGCGATCCATGGAGCTCTCTGCCCACCTGGAAGTTCAAGACTGTGTCCTACTGGCATCTAAAATGAGAGAGGCTTTATTTTTATTTTTTTTTTGAGACAGAGCCTCAAGCTGTCCCCCTGGGTAGAGTGCTATGGCATTACAGCTCACAGTAACCTCCAACTCCTGGGCTCAAGCGAGTCTCCTGCCTCCGCCTCCCAAGTAGCTGGAACCACAGGCACCCACTACAATGCCCAGCTATTTTTTTTGGTTGCAGCCGTCATTGCTATTTGGCAGGCCTGGTCTGGATTTGAACCCGCCACCTTAGGTGTATGTGGCTGGCACCTTAGCCACTTGAGCCACAGGTGCCAAGCCAGAGGCTTTATTTTCTTAAGAAATTTCCTTTCTTTTCCTTTTTTTTGAGACAAAGTCTTACTTTCTTACCATTGTTAGGGTACTGTGGTGTCATAGCTCACAGCAACCTCAAACTCTTGGGCTTGAGCAATCCTCTTGCCTCAGCCTCCTGAGTGGCTGGAACTACAGGTGCCCAACATAATGCCCAATTTTTCTATTTTTAGTAGAGACGGGGGAGGGGGTCTCACTCTTTCTCAGGCTGGTCTTGAACTCCTGAGCTCAAGCAATCCACCCTCCTTGGCCTCTCAGAGTGCTGGGATTATAGGCGTGAGCCACTGAGGTTGGCCTCTTTCACTTTTCTGTAACAACTTTTCTCTAGAGTTCCTCCCTCGGGAACAGCACAGTTCCCTATAGAGGACCCCTGACTTTTGCTTTAAAAGGTCAAGTGCTGTAGGAAATAGAGTAAATAGAAGCTGTCATAAGCTCTGGGAGTCACAGGAGTCACTGTGACTTCCCTGTTAAACTACCAGCAGTTCCCCAGAGTGGACAGAAGATGGGCAGGGTCACATCCTCACTTCTGGATAGGTCCAAGAGTGCCTAGGTCAAAAATGAGATGCACAGAACTTTAGTCACAGGTAATGTTTGACTGAACATCACGAGATGGCAAGTTGAGCATTCCTAACCCCCCAAATTCAAAATCTGAAATGCTTCAAAATTCAAAACTTTTTCATGCCTACATCATACTCAAAGGTCATGCTCTAAAGATAAGTTATTTGGTGGGTGGCGCCTGTGGCTCAGTGGGTAGGGCGCTGGCCCCATGTACCAAGGGTTATGGATCAAGCCTGGCTCCCGCCAAACTGCAACAAAAAATAGTCGGGCGTTGTGGTAGGCACCTGTAGTCCCAGCTACTTGGGAGGCGGAGGCAAGAGAATAACCTAAGCCCAAGAGCTGGAGGTTGCTGTGAGCTGTGAGGCCATGGCACTCTACCAAGGGTGACAAAGTGAGACTCTATCTCTAAAAAAAGAAAAAGAAAATTTCTTTGGGCCAGGCGCTATGCTCACATCTGTAATCCCAGCACTCTGGGAGGCCCAGGTAGGCAGATCCCTTGAGCTCAGGAGTTTGAGACCAGCCTGAGCAAGAGTGAGATCCCCTCTCTACTAAAATTAGAAAAAATAACTGTGCATTATGGTGGGCACCTGTAGTTCCAGTTACTCCGGAGGCTGAGGCAGGAGGATCACTTGAGCCCAGGAGTTTGAGGTTACAGTGAACTGTGGTGTTGCCACTATATTCCAACCAGGGAAGGAAAAAATGCTCTTTGGAGCACTTAGGATTTTCAGACTTAGGGATGGGTAATTGGATATATGCCAATATACCAACATCCAAAAAACAAAATTGAAATCCAAAACACTTCTGGTCCCAATTATTCTAAATAAGGGACACTTAGTCTGTGTAAAATATCTGGTGTGTGTAAATGAAGCCCACAGTAAGTCCTAGAAAGGGGCTCTGCCTGTTTTGAGTTTTTTTTTTTTTTT